GGGAAGATATTGGAAAATGCGACTTCTCAGGGGTGCGACATAGCAGGAGATTGACTGTACGTTGTTGAAGTGAAATATCCATTGATACAATTTGCCTACTGATTTATTATTTCAGTAATGTGACTATTTAACCGACAATATTGCACTTTATTTTCTCTCGGTGGTGTATCGCTCTAATGATGTAGCACATCGATTACAACATTATCCATAATTTTACATCTTAACACTTCATTTAATTCCTACATCGTATTAAATGTAATAAATGTAAATTTCGAACCACATACGAACACTGCCACTTGTTTATATCACTCGATTATACGAACGCATTTCGACGCGCACATTTTTAAGACACCAAAGGACAGCGTGAACACATCACACAATACGCTTACGTCTCACACTAGCTTGCTTGCAACCGTTGGTTAACTTTGTAGCAAATAATCGGTTGTCCTTGATCGACTTCTTCCCAATATCTCTTACCAACCAAGTAGCTAATAGGACTTAGAAAGCGAAATCGCAGCTAAGCCGACAGAAAGTCTGTAGGAGATATTGGGAAGAAGTCGATCAAGGACAACCGATTATTTGCTACAAAGTAAACCAACGGTTGCAAGCAAGCTAGTGTGAGACGTAAGCGTATTGTGTGATGTGTTCACGCTGTCCTTTGGTGTCTTAAAAATGTGCGCGTCGAAATGCGTTCGTATAATCGAGTGATATAAACAAGTGGCAGTGTTCGTATGTGGTTCGAAATTTACATTTATTACATTTAATACGATGTAGGAATTAAATGAAGTGTTAAGATGTAAAATTATGGATAATGTTGTAATCGATGTGCTACATCATTAGAGCGATACACCACCGAGAGAAAATAAAGTGCAATATTGTCGGTTAAATAGTCACATTACTGAAATAATAAATCAGTAGGCAAATTGTATCAATGGATATTTCACTTCAACAACGTACAATGATTTAACCAGCAGAGCGTGAGAGACAGAATTGGATTTCTCGCCATGTATTCCTTTGTCTACATCGATTCCACGAGTAGAGGCAATAAGTTGAAATTGAGTAGCAAGAGTGTGTGATTCGGACATGACCTTAACTTTTGGTGCTCATTACTTTTTGTTTTTAATTATAATAGCCCACGTCTACTTGTACATGTCCGTTCACTGGGATTTATAAATTCAATGTGCTTGTTTGTTTTACGTCAGCGATTGAGAAGATTAAGCGAAATGTTACCATCTCGCGACATCTATTCTTTCGGTATTGATGCGAGAATTTAGTTTCTCCGAAAAACTCTGTATTGCTATCCATCGAGAGAACAACAATGCTTAACCTTCCATTTCTAAGACATTTTTTCTTCATTTTCAGTTTTAAAGTAGAACACACAATGTGGGCGAGCACGTCTTCATTATATTCACTTTTAAACATTTACAATCCAGTCTATGTAAAACAATTTCAGCAGGATCAAACAGAATAAAGGCTCAGTCATGTGTGCGGTGATGAGCCCGAGAGAACTCCAAATCGGTACGCTGTTTGGATAACGTGACCGAAATTCGCTATATTAAGCCATGGTCATGTGAATAAGCGATATTTTCTTTGCCGATGGTGTTTGAGAGCTTGGACCAACTTTCGCACAGTTCAGGCTCCATGAATCGGATGATAGTCACCTCTGTGGTTCCGAACGACCGAAACCGAGCAGTGTGGTGATACTACAAAATGATGATTGTGAGGGCCGAGCGCATGTTAACCACATGGGTAACTATCGAACTTGCCATAGCTCCGCTCCCACTATGTGTGAGCCAGTATGGATCGTGTTCATTGATACGTTATTGCAACTGTTTTATCGTTCGACCTACATAGATCGCACTACAGGTGAAGCTGAGCTGGTTGATAATCACAGATGAGGTCAACATAGGTAGCCTATCTTTATTGTATCATAGGATGTTTGGTGACTCCGAGAACACACATCTTAGCTGAATCGTATTAAAGGTGAATTCCACTGCGGTGGATAAAACTCTACGGCGGTGACATCTCGTTTCAATGAAAGTTTTTGGATCGACAGCCATGTTTGTATCGAAGAGGCGGACAACAGACCTATCAGTTAAATGCGCTAAAACTACTGATGAAGCAAAGAAACAACAGAGCGCGTACTAAAACAAGCCACTTGTTCAAGCTCTAACAAGCAGTTTCATTCACAACCAATCACAGTGCAATATGTCCTACCGGTCAGAGATCTGAAGACAAAACTATCAATGGGGAAGTTTCAATCGGTTCTGATTATTGATGTGCTTCATTTTATGATCACATCAACCGCTTGATCCATGAGAAAGAGGTAGTTCGGAGAAGAGGTGTTCTTACCAGGAGCAGAACGATAAAGCAAAATAGTTCACTATTGAATAAAGGATTTATCAAAATATTAATCTCGACAGATTGTTACAATTATCCCGCCTTTTCCACAGGGACAGTCATTCATTTCCGTGACCATTCCAAGGTCAAAGTTTTATTATGGGCGATTTAACAAAGCTAAAGTTTATCATGCCCCATGGGATTTTTACAGAATCTTTTGAATAACTTCACAAAGAGAAAATAACAATGATTATAATATGCATGATCACTCACACCAATGCTTTATCAAGTTATGATTTAAATGGTTTAATTGTAGGAGCACACACTACATCAAATGGAAGAGAATTTCATACACCGCACATTCTAACTGAAAATGAGGGATGCCGGCAATCAAGGTGGCTGTTTTGGGTGTTCAAATTTACCGGATGTCCCCTGAGGTGATAATTATGAGAGAAAGTCAGCATAGAACGGCAAGGGTGGTGGGTTTGATGCAGTATGTGATATGCCAAGATTAGGCCNCCCCCCCCCCCAAGTCGGTATTGAGATGAGTACAGTCCCAATATTTGCAGTCTTTCAGAGTATGTCTTATTATATAGACCTTTTACCAATTTCGTTGACAACCTTTGCGGACGTTCTAGAGCGGTTTAACCATGGGTTCAATATTTGAACGGCGTACTCCGTGTGTGGCCGAAAGAACGCTGATAACAAGCGTGGGAACAGTACTCTTTCGAACTGCCGGAAAACACGTCTGAGTGGTCCCACCTGCTTTAGAGTCATAGACGATGCTCTGGCAAAGTGTTTAGAACATCCTACGTCTTCCTGTACCATAACTCCCAAATCCCTATCATCATCAATGTAGTGCTTGGTTCCCCAGAACATAGGAGAAACGAGTCTCGTGCCGCATGGAAAATAACTCTAATTGGAAACGTTGAACTCGATGTCATTGGCTGGTGGGCTGCATCGATCGTTTGTTGGAGTGCTATATCATCCTCAGGATGTGTTACAATTCTCCAGATCTTAGCATCGTCCGCAAATAGCAGTGTTAGGCCCAAGGACATGTGGCAGGTAGTTGATAAATGAATCCCGAGAATCTGATAATGAATCACCAACAAGAACTGACATGGTCCTTTGTCGGAGAAACTACTTGATCCAGTCCAGAAACAAATCTCTTACTCCGTAGTTGTAGAGTTTTCGTAGTAGAATTTGGTGGTTTACTCGATCAAGTGCCTTGGAGAAGTCCAAATAAACTACATCCAATGGCTGGCCTGCATCGACGGATTTTTTCCACTCATGCAAGAAGTAGATTTGTGGTGCACGAACGCTTGTGCCGAAACCCATGCTGAGTTGGAGACAAAAAACGCATGGTTCTCCAGATATTCCATCAATAGATCTGCCACAATAGCTTTCATGACTTTCGACAATATCGGAAGAAGAAAGATGGTAGTTGGCGGGATCACTGCGAGATCCCCCTTTGTAAATGGGGGAAATCACCCCAATTTACACTAAACGTCATCGATACTGTCATATAGTCTTAGACCCCGAATAACACGCAGTAAGTCATCTTTACGCTTTCTGTCCATCTCCTAAAAAATCAAAGCCTGTTCCGGTTCGCTTTTGAAGGAATGTCGCGAACCAATCACCAATGAGCAACGAACGCAATATCAGTCTCGTGCAGCTATCGTTTAGTTGAGGCATGAAATTTGTCACTCTAGCCTCTAGTTTTTATGCAGAAACAAACAAAACACACCAGCCCCTCGGATTATTGCATGGGCCCGTTCATCGTGTCATCAAACAACTAGTTGTCAATTTGAAATTGGTTGATTCCTATCTTGAGGAAGCTATGACTGTTGACGGTTGGGGTTACACTCTGACCATCAAAACAACCAGGTTCTCTTTCACCGGCAGAATCAGGAGTGAGTTCTGCTAATCGTCAAGATGATGTCGAAGAGTCGATGAAACAGAAATCTTTTCAGATGGTCAACTGTCCTATAATCCAGAAAATTACTCGAGCGGAAGCTTTCCTGCCCCTGAAATCACCCAATGTTAAAGAGGGGAAAACAAAAGTTTCTGTCAACTAATCGATTTTGAATTGGATGATTCAGTTTACATGCGAAAGGATTACGTCACCTCTGAGAAGTGGCCCACGATGAGCAATCAATGATGATTTCTGAAAACCATATGTACAAAAATGCAAAAGAGAAAACAGCATTGTCAGCAGTACTTAGTATCACGGTCGAACAGGAACTTTTGATCAAGATCGCGTTGTTTATCAGCTTTCTGGGATAAACTGGCCTGTCGATTGCGCAGTTCAATCACGTCCAGATGCCGGCGGAGTGACTCTTTGAGTTCTGAAGAGAAATAAGAAAATAAAGATGCACAATTCACCGCGAGAGAGAGAGGCAACTGTTCAAATCGCGTCAACTGCGCATAACTAAACCGTCTAAGACCACGAGGGACGCATAAATAGTAGTGAACTGATCTAAAAGTTTGATCGTTGTTTGTTACTTTTTCAGTGAGTGTACAATTAATTTCAGGCGGGGGGGGGGGGGGGGGAGAGAAGCATCTAATCAAAGGATTGCCGAGAAGCAAACTGAAGTGGGAAAGTCAGGCGGAAGTAGTGGGATTTGAATACACAACATCCGGTGCGAGGTGAAGCTGAGCAATTGGGATTGAATACCACACTAGTCTCGTTCAAATTGATAAAAAGCAACCTCAAAAGCCAAGTCAAAGTTGCAAAACCAACACCGAACCTTTTTGGACTCGTACCAAATGGAAATATGCTCTCACGGTTTCATGGATTACACCATTGTGTTGAGGACTAAATGTTTTATCACTATTCGATTTATTTGGTAACATAGCTACTAGAAATATTTAACAAAAACAGGGTAGGGAAACCTGGACTTATGCGTTGCGATGGAGTAGACTGATATTTGCCAAAGCACGTGATACAAGTACAAGCGGAGAAATTCCATGAGGTCAGGGATCCGCAAACGACCGGACCAAAAGGTAGTCCGAGCAAGAATGAGTGACACTTACATAATTACATAGGTTCAAGTAGAAAGAACTGAATTGTTGAGTCAATATCAAAGTCATTTGGGTATATGGGTGAACAAGGAGGAGGAGGAGGGGAATAGTGANAAAGATTCAGAAAAAAGGGGAATATTCGCATGGAAACAGTTACTTAATGGAAAACGATTAGCCGTGGAGGAGAGTTGAACATGGTTACGTAATACGAAAGAGATACAACTAGAAATGAATTCGAACATACGTATTAAGTTACCGGAGTAAAAAACTGTTCAATTAAGTAGGTTAAATAGAGTGACATAATAAGGAAATGAGAAGGGTGAGCTGTCAACGATGATGTAAGGAAACGGCTGAGATTATGGGAAGGAAAGGGGAGGAGAATTACCATGGTAATAACTGCATCACAAAGACACGCATAAGTCAAGCATTAAACGGCTAATGACAACCGATCCTGCAAACTTAAGCAGCCTTGGGCTTCGAATTTTGAGCATAATGCGGAAAACTTCGCGTTTGTCTATGCAGTGTTCGGTATCCAGCAAATATCGTGCCACCGCGCTTGCTGGAAGTTTTCCTCCTCGAAGTGGTAAGTTATTCGGAACATGCTCACTCATTCTAGTCGACAGCCGACGTTCAGTCCTTCCGACGTACCGTGAACCGCAAGTACATTGAAAAAGATAAATGTAATTGAAGCGGACCGAATCATTGGATATGTCTATGTTTAACTGCATTAATGAGTTCGTTGTTCTGTGAATCATGATCAGCTTTGCGGCAGGATAGATAGANCAACCGACGACCAACCCGTGCAACTACATCGTCTCCTTTGAATGGTACACCAATGAAAACTGGTTTCTTTTCGACTGTAGTGCACGTGCCCAAATGGCTTTGCTAATGACTCAACAACTCAGTTCTTTCTGCCTGAACCCATGTAACTGTGTAAATGTCCATATATGGTATTCTTCTTATAAAATTCGACCTATTTAATGTGCGAGAGCACGCGAAAATGAGTGAGACATCGAGGGAATTGAGCTATTAAGAGTGATGAGACCAACAAAAAGAAACTCACCGGGAATGTGAGTCCCCGTTTTGGCCGAGACCAGATGAATCTGTTCGAACTGAGGTACAAAA